GGGAGGGACTTGGGTAGAATGGGATATGCTGACTACGCGCTAATGTCACGTGTAGCCCCTCATAGATGAGTGTTTACCGGGCACTACGTGGGGTGATCTTGTAGGCTAACCAACCTAGGACCCCTTTTCCCAAATCCCCTTTGCTTAAAAACTTTACTTTCTTTTTATGCACACAACTTGTTCAAATTCTATGTCTTATTATTTGAGTCATACAATGCCCAACATGCTTTATTTATTTATTTCAAATACTTATCGATTAAAGGACTAATTCATAAGTATAAGTCCGGCCAGGACCCACCGTTGTGGACTAAAAGGGTGCCTAACACCTTCCCCTCAAGGTTACCTCGAGCCCTTACCCTAAATCTCTGGTAATGCAAACCAATTCAAGAGTTAATCGCTCTAGATGCTCTAACGCACCATAATTCGTTAGGTGGCAATTTTTCAAAATACTCAATTCCTAAAAGGAAATGAGTTACTACCCCCATAAATGTTGAAACCCGGACTTTACCATCAAAAAGGTAAAAAGGAGGGCGAGACAATAAGTGTTGCTGGCATAAATAACATTGAAAGACAAGGGGTGGAAGAGCGAGTTACGTTGACCATAACATTGATTGCCCTGGGGAGTGGTGGAGACTTCATCAATCTTCAACATGTCATCTTTCCACATAATGACAATGTCTTATGACATGCCTACAACGGAGTTTTGAATTTCCCCTGTGAATCCCAACTCCTAAATGAGGTATTTGTGCTCAGTCATCCTTGTTTCCAAGAGGACTCCATGGCAAGGTTGTACAATTTAACCATCTCTGTACAATGTCTCCTAAATTCCCCACTGTTTTCCCCCTAGCATTAATCCAGATTATGAATTTTATTAGTAACCTTGGGTTTGTTTGTGGCTTCCTTTTCAGGCATTTGGATTTCCCCTTCACTGATGGGCTCTCCATCCCCTGATGATTCTGAGGAGTTAAGTGGGCTATTACTAGTTTTAGCTTCACAAATGAGTCTCTTGAGTTTGGCTCTAAGGATGATCTTAGGCTTACTCCACACATTACCATGCTTCTTGGGCATAGTACGATAAGCATTTCTCCCCCAGATCCTCTGAACTCTATTGTTTCCTCCTGTTGCAGAAGCATCGCTTTGGTATTTGGCACTCCCAACCTTGCTATCATTTTCTCTAATTCTATGTTGGTGGCTTTTAGGTGCTCGTGGACATTTTCCAATCCTATCTTTGGAGATGGGGTCCTTGTCCTCACTAGTATCCATGGGGAGAAGGGTCGGGTGGGGATCCCATCTCGTGGAGAGACTAATGGAAAGAAGGGGGTGTGACTTATCTATTACATTAAAAGACTCAGTTGATCTGTTGTCATTATTTGCTGGCTCAATGCAAGTTGATCGTCCATAAGAGTTGTCAATGTCTATAATTTAGCTGGGCATGGTTCAGGTTGGCTGTGACCAGTTTGGCCAAGTAGTGGGAGTTTTGAATTACTACTGAGATGGGTATTGTCCCTATCGAGAAGTTCAAAGGAAAAGAAATACAATGCAGTTCCATCTCCAACCATGAGGTTGGAATGTGACCCATGAGGAGTGGGGTGGATGAAACCCTTATCAGATTTGGATCCTCCCCTTGGTTCTATCTGTTGCTGTTGTTTGTTGGGTTGTTTTGTTTCCCCCATTGTTAGTGTCTACAAACATATAGTGGAGTTTACATTTTTAGTTGTGCTCTTATTTCCTTTTAATCAAGGTTCTTCTCCATTGGGTTTCCGTGCATGAAGATTTATCATCATTAGAATTCTTTGAGAGGCGACAATGTCAGTCAAAATAGTAGAGAGGGAGTGATGATGGGATACAATTTTGGTTATAGTATGAGAGGGAGTGAGAGGGATTAATTAAATCCTTCTACCTTTGCACTGTGTTAGTGGTGTTGTTAGAGAGATCAGGTGTAGCCCCATTTGTGGACCCCAGAATATGAGGGGTACTGTCAGAACAAGGGGTATCATATTTGGGATTGCAGTTGGGGTATTTTTCATACCCGAAATAGGTAAGTGTTTTTCCCCTTGGGCCGCATGCGATGTGTTAGGTGTGTAAGTGAGGGGGCACGTGCCTAGTGTGTGCTCTGTACTCAGCACAGGTTGTGAATTGTGCATTTGGTTTGGGCTGTGCGTTGTAGGCTCAGACAATTGTATCATAGGCCCATGTGGCCTAAGATGCCTGTCTTGTTGGGACCTATCTATACGAGGCCCATGTGGCTTGATTTGGGTCTGTTTCATTTGGCCCATAATTCCCACAGCCCTAGCATCGCCATGTTCCACAGTCTTGTTGTCGCCCTCAAAATCGTCTAAGTTACTAAGGACGAAGAAATTACCTAAGTCTGATGGTCGCTTTCCGCTCCCTGTTTTGTTCTCTATTTTCTATGGTTGTGCCTGAGCTTTGAAAACTTCCGTTTGTCCTTGCCATTTTGCTTTTCGTGGGAATTCCACCACTTTCCATTCATCATTTTCGTTGGTTTTGTGACCGCCGATGATATTTATGATGTGTCCTTCGCCCCTATCTGTCGTTGATTTGGGCATTTCTTGAGTAGATGACCCAATCGCCCACACCCCTTGCACAAGATGCACTCTTTTTCGTACTCAATTGGTTGTTTATGTTCCCCAATGAGTACCATCATTTGTAGTGGTGCCTCAATGGGTATGTAGTTGTAGATCCATGCATACCTGCTTCTTAATGTAGTAGAGGTGCACGTATCGATTTTCAACGGCCTCCCAACCCTTTTCCCCACCCTTTCTAGGATCTCTTTATCATAGAACTCTGTGGGTATCCGGGGCAGTCAGATCCATATGGCGATGGCGTGTATTTTTTCTTTCACCGGAACAAAGTTTGGTTCCCAATTTCTGACGGAGAAGAAGTGTCCCATTACGAACCATGGGCCTCCGTGCAATGCAGTCATCATGTTCTCTTCCTTTTCAAATTTCACCATAAAGAAATCCCAGCCTAGATCTATCAGTGTTAGCTATTCACTAGGATTCCATAGGTGCTGTAATTTGTGTTTCAGTATAGGTGGTGGGGAATTTTCTTCCCAAAGATCTTGATGATTAATGAGAAACGTCATGGATGGTAAAGTCTGTTCGTTTGTTCTTGGCTAAAAAGAAGGTCCCAGTTGTATCGTCTTAGGTTGAATTTAGAGTTACCTCCAATTGGTGGTACTGATAATTGAATGTGCTTGACTTTGTCAAGTTCTTGTCCGCTAATATTTCCTTAAAGGTGTTAACCTTTTTCTTTTGGAGTTGATTCGACTTCCATCGGAGTTAAAATGGTATCCGGTGGGTGGGGGGTTTTAGTGCGAGTGGTGATAGTTGGTCCTCTGGGGGTGGGGGTGAGGCCATCTAGGGGTAAGGGAATAATTTTAGAGAGAGAAAGTCTCCAGTGAATTACAATAAATTATAGCTTTTAAGGCGTGTGACTTGAATCAAAATTCTATTCTCTTGATCGCAACTTGTCAAATAATTTTCTTCATGCTTGTGATATTTATTTGCTAGAAACTCTGCACATATATTCAACTATATATAGAGAGATTTATATTTAAAATATGAAGGGAGTAAAAATTACTTCATTTGTAAAATAGTGAATCAAAAATAGTAGCTTGCAGGGGACCACTTGGATGGATTCTCCCTCTTTCCATTCCATTGTCAGGAAGGGAAGAAGAACAGCACAGAAGCTACATTTAAATAAAATATTGGGTATAAAACTAGAGAAGAAAGAACATTAAAACTCAAAAAGGAGAAAAGCACAAAAAGATAGATTGATCAAAAGGAAAAGCACACAAGAGAATATTGGTATCCCTGTGAAAGAGAAAGGATGACAACGACAAAAGCTGCAACATTTGATCCTTGCTCCCCACTTTGCCACGTTGGATCTTCACGTGGCAAAAGTAGGCCCCATCAC